AATATATGAAACAAAACTAGTTGATCCTTTAAGTAATGTTCAAAATATTAATACGAAATATGAATAGGAATTAATTAATATTCAAGGAAGAATATTATTAAAGAAGATGAATCCTACTATAATTAATATCAAGATGTTAACTAATTGTCATGTTAGCAACACTCCTCAACATTAGTATAGAGGAAGAAAATACTACTCTAACTAATGTCAAGATGTTAACTAATTGTCATCTTAGCAACACTCCCCAACATTAATATAGAGATAGTATTAAGGAAAGAACTATTAATTAATATTCAAGGAAAGAAGTTAAGAAAATAACTCACAACTTTAATAATCAACAAGCTTCAAGAGCAACACCAAGAATGGAAGTTTAGCTCCTCATTTGGAGACTAAACATAGCTAGAAAAATATAAAGAAATGCTATTCTAAACTGAGCTTAAGAGTATGGAAGAAGGGATGATTTTTAGAGAAGAAAAAATGTGCTATTTATAGGTATTTTTCAACACCTTTGGCCGGGTACCTGACCGGGGCAAGTACTTACCCGACCGGGTCCGGTCAAAATCAGATAATCCGCCACGTTCTGGCGATCTTCGCACACCGGGTTATCCCCAGTCACTTCTCACCCGACCGGGTGAGGTATGGGGCCCGACCGGGTCCAGCTCTTTCCTCTGCGGTTCGGTTTTCAAATCAGACCCGACCGAGTGAAGTTTCCTATCCGGTCGGATATTTGCTCCTGGACAGTCAAAATTCCTTTTTCTTCACTTCAACATCCTCCTTTTCAACATCCTAATTCCTAATTCTACTTTACAACTTACAAATGAGAACTAAAATACAATTACAACTAAAATCACACAAATGCTTACAAACTAAATAAAACGTCAAACAATCACCATCAATGAAACATAAAAACATATAATTATGCACTACTAATTAGTGTGCATCAGTTAGTAGGTAAAAAACAAAAAATTGTTGGAATAAATCCATGAATACTTTAATATTCATATTGGAATTGTCTAGAGAAATAACTGATTGAGAAGCGTACCTGATTCCATTGGAGATGATCTTTAGAGGTCCAGGAGATGGAGGCTAGGGTTTGCATCTAGTTGATACACACCCTCGGGAATTATCTCTGTAGCGATGGGATGCAGAAAGACTGAATGACGTGTTCCACTAGAGACCACAACCCCTCTATTTATAGAGAATGTTTAACCATAATCAGCCCATTATTAATTAGGTTAAGCTCATGGGTCTCTACACATTTCGGTCATATATCTTATTAGATAACATATTCGCCTACTTAAATTAATATCCATATATAGGATCACTAATTTTGGGGCCTAAATATAAGATATCATATAACATACAATTAAACCCAATAAATAATATATTGTGAATATTACATGTAATGAGTCCATTAATCTAACAAAAATGACATTAGTAGATTTTAGTACTCCCTCCGTTCCTATTAAAACTTCCAACTTTCCTTTTTCGTCCGTTCCAATTAAAACTTCCACTTTCCCTTTTTAGTATAGAATTTGTGGTTCACAACATTTCTTACACATTTCTCTCTTCTCTGCACAACTCTCTACCACACAATACCCACTATCTTAAATTGTGTGCCAAACCTATTTGGAAGATAAAATAGGAACGGAGGGAGTATTTGTTTTTGTGTTGTTTAATAACATGTTACAAGTATATAATAATACATATGCGATTTTTTATTGATTTAAAAAATAACTATGCAACGATACATAAAAATGAGTATAAAGGGAGAGATTTATGTTCATGTGAGAATGTAATATTAGGAGAGCAAAAAAGAATAGATATCAACCGTTGGATTAGTTTTTAATTAACCGTGTGTCAAAATAATCCCAGGGGTATTCAAGTCAATTCCGTTTTTATACTTCGTACGTTTCCTAAGTTGGCGCTGCATGTTTCCTTCATTAACCGTTCCTCCACGATTCTTTCCAAACGCATCTTTCTCCTGCGTTCTTCTTCTTCTTCTGCGTCCTTCTTCTCTTCCTCTTGCGTCGTTCTTCCTCCCACGTTCTTCTTCTCTCCTTCTTCGGAATTCATCCTGGCAGAGAACGTATTGATCAGATTTCTCCTTGTGCGTCGTTCTTTTTCTTGGTGCTCCATCCGTTGTGGGTTTTTTGCTCCAGCCTAACTTTCTTCCACTGAGTTCAGTAAGTATCGTTTATTTTATTTTGATCATTGTTTAAACTCTCCAAGTTTTAAGTTCCTGGATGAATATATGTGTAAATATGATTTTTTTATAGACATACTGTAGAATTTTGACATGGTACTGTAGAATTTTGACATATGATTCTTTGTTTCAATATTGTAAACGTCATGCGCTTTTAGTTTACCGATTCCTGGTGTACTAAATATTTTCTTAATATTTTGTATTGCACTATATATACAGTGTAGTATGATGCATATATGTTTGGATATTGCACTTTTAATGTAGTGGGTTTGTTCAATGCATGTGTTTTTGAATAATTTCTGTGCTTGTAGCTTAATCCTTCTTAACATATATCAATCTTTTATAAATAGGGTTATATTCATATTAAAATTTCTGTTTTTATTTGGCTTGTGCACTTTAAAGTTTATTATGATGCTCTTAATTGATTTCTTTAATTTATACTACGTATTAAACCTTTGATGCACGTGTCATATTTTGTTTATGCACTTTTCATTAGTTTTTTGTTTTACTTTTTTTGCAGATAAAAGAGGCACCATGAGACAATGCCATAATGGAAACTATGATTCTTTTGGGAGAAAAGTGCATATTATTTTGTAAAAAATATCAATGTAAAATTTTAGAATAGTATGAAGTACTAGTGCACTTTTATGTATATTTAAATGCACATGATAAAAGTGCATTTTATTTTGTAAAAATGTATTTGTTTAGAATTTTAGAAAGTGAAATAATAGTACACGTTTATATTATTTTAAATGCACGTTATAGTTGTTAGTGTATGCCCTTGTATATTTATATTCATTTGCACAACTAAATATGTAAAGTGTAGATTAATGTTGTAGAAAGTGCAAACTAATGACATCAAAGTGTGATTTACAATAATGTAGATTATTGCAAGCTAATGGTGCACCATAGAAGTGAAAAGATGTATTGTATTTTCTAAAACAGTAACCATATATTTGTACAATTGCATTTATGTAGACATTAAGGACACGCTTCTTAATTATTGTTAGTCTACAATATTATACACTTGTCACAATCTAATTTGTACTTTTAGCAATAAAAACATATATGAAGGTCTTATATTTAAATCTTTTCAAGGGTGCAAATGTGCACATCATGAGTTTTAAATAGATCAAATGTGCACCTTCAATGTTCAAGGTGTGCATTTTCACAAAACAAAAAAGTGTTGAATTTAAAAAAAACTATGAGAACAACACATACTTAATTAGATCTATAATATGCATTCCAAATCCATTTTGGTGCATTATAAGTATATAAATACTACGTGTATATTGATAAGATTTCAATATCACATTCTTCTAATTATAAAAATAAAGCGCACTTCTAAATTGCAATTATTGCACATATTAATATTTTCGTTTACTGAAAATTGCACATTTTAATTACAATAAATGCACCTTTGGTTAAACATAATATTTGTGACTATTAAAATGAATGTTTGCAAAAAAATCAAATAAGAGTGCAATGATTCACCATTAAAGTTCAATCGACAAATCTTGCATCTGAAAAAAAAGTCACACGTGAGAGGATCTTAAATTTGGAAAGAAAATAAATAAGAAAAACTATTTAATTTTTCAAGCATAAGATAAACTAATTATGGTGGTAATTATGAGGGAGATTACTCCGCACTAATTATTTTCCTAATTATTAGGATTACTTCCTATTATGGTGGTTTGTGTGTGGTAATCACTTAAATGGGGTTCACCATTATGCCCCTGAATAAATACATTGTGACACTCTTTTCATTTCTCGACACGTGAGGTGCATCGTGCTTTTTTTTTAATTCCAAGCCTTCATATAAGCCACACGATCAGATTAATCAATGATATAATCTTATTCTTTTTTCTCTCCTAAGAGGTCTTTCTCACCTGAACCCACCCCTCTAGGGGATATCATATACAATATCAAAACCAATGGTTGTATGTCTACAAAATCGTTAGAGCAAGTCTGGAAGCATCCCACTATTTTTTCAATAAATAGTTTATTTTAGCATTTGCTTGACCTAATCACTCACACGTATTTTACAATATAAAAATATATACACTCTTCCCCGCCCATTTAAAATCACAGTTTTCATCAATAAACAAATTCAATACAAACACGTAAGCACTTTACAAATAAGTGAGGTCGATGGCGATAAAATAAAAAAAGGATGATACCTCATCCCTGAGGGCCCCCAATCCCGACGGAATGGTACATTGGAGGATGTAAATTAGACTATAATCCCAATCTGACAGATAAAGAGTGAAGCTCTGTCCCCGATACTTGCAGAGGTCTTATGCATTTTTTAGCATAGTAATCTCTTATCGCAATTGACGGGATTCGAATCCGAGACCTAACCCTTATGACACTCTCTCGCTACCAGTTGAGCTACGCCCGCCGATAATAAGTGAGGGCGATAGTTCTATGTTGAGGGGCAAATAAGTGGATCATCATTGATTTAATCATGTCCATGAAATGATGAGGGAGTCATATCACTTTTATAAATGTAATAATTCTTGATTTTAGAGTAAGTGATCAAATCACCATTGAATTGTTACAAAGTTTTAAGGGAGGAGTTGCAAAAGGCGACTTCGTACACGGAACCATAGTTACTAGTCTCCGCATACCCCATTCCCCGACGATCGTTCAAACCCCACCCAACTCACAGTCATAGACGCGTCAGCCGTATTTACTTTTTTATTTTATTTGTAATTACTCGTATAATCTAATACGGAGTAAATTGTTGGGTTTCTGCGACTTATTTATATACATTCCCAAACAATAATGGATTACGTATTTCTTCTTCTCCCATTCAGACAGAGCAGTTTCTTATTATAATAAATAAATAAATTGACTCGCCCATTTCTTTGGATTCATTGCCATGAACGCCCTTGCAGCTACCACCCGTAACTTCCGCCAGGCCGCCCGCATTCTTGGCCTGGACTCTAAAATCGAGAAAAGCCTCCTCATCCCCTTCAGAGAAATCAAGGTTCTAAGCTTCAGATTTTATTATATTAAAAAAAATCAGTAGTTTTTAATGGAGGAAGTTCGAATATGTTTATGATACTCTCAGTATGGTGATTGTTTGGTCAGGTTGAGTGCACAATTCCGAAGGACGATGGAACTCTGGTCTCTTACGTTGGCTTCAGGGTGCAGCATGATAATGCTCGTGGACCTATGAAAGGAGGAATCAGATACCATCCTGAGGTGATTATTATTGTTCTTGATTTCATTTGCATTGATTATTCTCTTCATTCTTCCTAGTTCCTACTGTGTGATTTCTTGTTGCTTAATTGTGGATGTATGAATGTATCTATTCATGGTTTCCGTTTCTCAAGTTTTATGGTTAGTATGATTTTAGCGGATTACTGGTTTAGGTCCTGAATTTTGCTTCTTGTTTCATCCCTGTAATATATCAAGAGATTTTATGTTGATCTGCATTGCTGGGTAAACTGGAAGCAGATTTACTGCTTGTCTTCCCCATTTTCATGTATCCGACCTCACCATGGCGTAGTGTTTCATATGAGAAAATTGATACTGCAAGGACTTACAGTGATGTTTTTGACGAAATTGATACTCTAACGACTTGGCTGTAATGTTTACTAAATAAACTGATATTCTAAAGACTTGCTGGAATGTTTAAACGACTCGATCTGCACCTATCGTTAATGAAGAATTTTTTACCTTCTTTGAGCATGTGGATACAATTATATGACTCTAACTTACGTCTTCTGCAATTTGCGGGAGCTTAAATGTTTTCAGTTTATGTAAGATACGAAGTACTATTTATGTGTGCGTGTATATACGAATAGTCACAACCTACAATTCGGTCATGATATTTTCCATTCATGTCGTTAAACCTACTGTGAGAGCAGCTTCTCATTGTTCCTTCTTTAGAAGGTTATGAATAGGAAGGGAAACCAGCATAAAACATAATTTGCCACTACTTTTTTTGCATGAATCTATAGTATGCTTTTTTTAGGCATATCATTGTCTGGTTATTATTTAATGATATATGATGGTATTTGGAAGGTTGACCCTGATGAAGTGAATGCTCTTGCTCAACTGATGACATGGAAGAGTGCTGTAGCAGATATTCCTTATGGTGGGGCTAAGGGTGGGATTGGGTGTACCCCCAAGGATTTAAGTAAGAGTGAGTTAGAACGCCTTACACGCGTCTTCACCCAAAAGATTCATGACCTAATTGGAGTCAACACTGATGTTCCAGCCCCTGATATGGGCACTAATGCACAGGTTAGTTTTCCTCTCTACATTAAGCTCTTTCTGTAGAATTAGTTTAAGGATAATTCCGGGAAATAAACTTATTAGCCGTTATGTCTTATACAGACTATGGCTTGGATTTTGGATGAGTATTCAAAATTTCATGGACACTCACCTGCTATTGTTACAGGAAAACCCATTGTAAGTTTCGTTGAACTAAGCGTCCTTTTGGAACTCAGTAAATGGTAAGAAAGGGGTAGAGAAATGACCACGGAAATGTTTTTTCCTTGGAAGGACAGTAAATTTTGATATCATGAAGTTTTTTTTTAATTTGAACGAATACCAGATTGAACCCTTATTTTATCTAACCTTTTCTTTCCTTCTAATTTTCATCTCTTTTTCCACCCTATTTCCTTACCCTCATATTTTCGGAGTTCCAAATTGAACCAAAGAGTTTTACTTTCATTGTATCCTATATTGATTTAAGATAACGAGATATCACAATTTTTTATAAGGTTCAAATTAAATATAATAATCTAAATTTGTTATCAACTTTTGCTAGGATCTTGGGGGCTCCCTGGGAAGGGAGGCTGCAACTGGACGCGGCGTGGTTTTTGCCACAGAAGCTTTACTCTCTGAGTATGGAAAATCAATCAAGGATTTGACCTTCGCAATTCAGGTTAATGTTAAGTAGCCAAAAGTGTTTTTTTCCCTACTTATATGGTTTTCAAAGAATAAGCAGAATAACTAGGTTTTGACTGAAATGGACATTACCAAACATTTTCCCTTTTAGAGAATTAAGCAAATTCAAGTGTTTCATTCAAATAAAACTTACCAAACATGCGGGCTCAAATAACTCTTGACACTCAATCGTTGTATTGCATCTCTGAACTAAATGCAATTTGAACGGTTTAGGGATTCGGAAATGTAGGATCTTGGGCATCAAAGCTTATTCATGAAAGAGGCGGTAAGGTTGTTGCAGTTAGTGACATAACTGGAGCTGTCAAGAACCCCAACGGCATCGATATACCTGCTCTCATCAATCATAAAGAGACAACAGGAATGCTGACTAATTTCAGTGGTGGGGATGCCATGGACTCAAATGAGTTGCTAACACATGAATGTGATGTTCTTATACCCTGTGCTCTGGGTGGAGTGCTTAACAGGTTCAGACACTAATTTCTTGTCATCTGGGTATTATATTCTTTATGAGTCCATTTGGAACTTGGAAACTGGTAAGTACTAGGGAAAGAAAATAGGAAGAAAAACAGAATCAAATGAGAAGGAAAGAAAGTGTGTGGGTAAAAAAAGGAATGCTAAAATAAACCCAATAATATCAATTTAGATGTTTGCTGATACCCATTTTATTTAGTCATTTCTGTAACACAAAGACTAAGAGATCTAAATACAAAATGCTATGTATATGTTAAAAAAGAACTAATAACATAAGAAACAACTTTGCTTAATATACTTTTCCCTTTCCCTGGAATTTGCTGGGGTCCAAAAATATCATAAAAGGTTCACTTTTTGTGACATTTGCTCTTAACTTTCCCCTTTTTAAACACTGTGTGTAGAGAAAATGCCGGGAATGTGAAGGCGAAGTTCATTATAGAAGCTGCTAACCACCCTACTGATCCCGAAGCTGATGAGGTAGGTACCCTTTTCTTGTTCCTTCCAAAGGTCCTATTGTTAATGGTGATATAGTTCCACATTCTGAAACAAATAAAGTGGTTTTTGAGTGCAGATATTGTCTAATAAAGGAATAGTAATTCTACCAGACATATATGCAAATTCTGGAGGTGTGACTGTGAGTTACTTCGAGTGGGTTCAGGTAATGTGCATGGTTTTCATTTATCAACTCAAAATGACCTTGTTTACTCGAGTCGTTTGGGCCTATCTCATTCTACAATTCTCATGTTTTGGAATGTATTCCATTTAATTCTTTGAAGGGTAAATCGAGAAAGAAGGAAAAGTAGGTTGTGTATGCCTAGAAATCGTCCTAATTCCTAAAGTTTTTTTTTTTTGCATAATGTGTGTTTTCTATGTGCAGAATATTCAAGGGTTTATGTGGGACGAGGAGAAAGTGAATAGGGAGCTAAAGAAGTACATGTCAAAGGCATTCCAGAACATAAAGAGCATGTGCCAGTCACATGATTGCAACCTTAGGATGGGTGCATTCACTCTCGGAGTCAATCGCGTTGCTCGTGCTAGTGTCTTGAGGGGCTGGGAAGCTTAATTCACTTCCTTGCCCTTTTCTTCTGCATATTACTATCATACTTCATTGATATATATAGTTGGAAATTTAATAAGCTGTGGAAAAGCCTAGATGATTTGCTTGTTCTTTTCATTAAGAACGCATGAAATTTCACTGACAAATTGGACTATACTACACAATGTGTATGTGACATTCATTTCAAATACATTGTAGACAGATTATTACAAATGGTTGGAGTTCTTCACCTACTATTGTTCTTTTTCTGGGTTTCTGTTTAACTTTTCCTGGTAGTAATGTTTTCTTGAACTGTTTATAGTATTGGTATGTTTGGTCCGGTTTGGATCCCAAGAAAATTAAATGCTAAGTGAAATATTTGTGTTTGATTTTAGTTGGCCCGTTTCACCACGAAATATGCAAAGGGAGATGAATATGATTAATGTTTTGACTTATTATTACTGAGTATTATCTAAAACGAGTTTGAACAAAAAACAAAAACAATTTATTGTGACGCAGTGTTTCATACCATGGTGGGCTTGGATCATGCACTCTCACCTCCCACAAGCTGAGCTCCTAAATGGTAAAAACCATAACATATCACATACTCTTATTTGCTCCCCTTGTTACTTGTTAGCACATTGCACATATACTTGTGTTTTAGCGAAAAACTTGCTATCAAATAATTGTTAATTCCAGATACTACATTAATTGTTCATCAAGAAATGATCTAGTCTTACTGCATCAATGTGAAAAACATCACACTTCTCTGTCCCAAAACATGTCATTTGAAAAACCTTTTCTTTGTCCCAAAAACTACATCATTTAATTGTCCAAAAATGTGACGAAAATGGTTACAAACAAGTTGAATATGGCACATTTAGTTTAACCGACATAAATGGTTGAAAATATAAATTTAGTGTTTATTGATAGAGCATAACTCTTTTTATATGTACCATTTTCTCTTTATTTCAGCAACAACAACAATAATAAAAACTATGTTTGTAATACTAAGTGCAGGGAGGGCAGCAATGTTGGGATTTTTCATGTCATATATAGTGGATCTTTTAACAGGGCTGGACGTTGTTGGACAAGCTGGTAATTTTCTGGGCAAGGCTGCCCTTTTCATCACTGTGACAGGTGTTTTGTTGTTCAGGAAACGGCAAGGTTTTGGAAAAATAAGGCAGGTAGCTGATGATGCAACCGTATACTACAAGCAATGGCAATTGGCAAGCATCACGGAATGATCAAAACAGAACCTAAACTTGCATTTCTTTCTTTGATTTGATAATTGATAGCCAGAAACACCTTCCTTTTGCGATGCTTACTGTCAAATACATTGCCACATAATTTTTATGTTGATTTCCTTTATTCTCGTCAACTATTCTCCAGTCAACTTGCATTGATCTTAATCTTTTACTTTATATATCCAAATTTTATCAAATTTAAATTTTCTTGATCAAGCTTTGTAGCGGTTTTAATGTAATTTCTGAATATGTAAATTTTATTTACTAAAAATAATTCTACCAATGACAGGGATACGTTAACTTTATGGTCAGTCAAACGTCGTAAACCGCGTGGGAATGTTTAAATGGGAGGGAGGGAGTACAAAATTCCACATGGTGTTTTTCCTTCTCCCAAGCATTTTCCAGGATGGAAACATACCTATAGGACTTGTTTGGTTAGGGAAAATCAGAAGAAAGGAAAAAGAGGTATGATTTTTATTTTAAATTATCATACCTTTAGAAGATCAGAAAATAAGTGCAGATAAAAAAACATACTTAGTATAAACATACATGATCCCATTAATCATATTAGTATTTCTAGTTTAAAACTGACAAATGGAGATCGATTGGTAAAATAAAAATAAATTTCCCTTTCACTCTTAAATCTGAAATCAAACAAGCATTTAATAAAGAAAGAATTGCATAAATATCACTAGGAGAGTTTTGATTGACAAAAATATGATCATTTTAGATCTGGACATAAAAGTAACCATTTTTTACTCCCCTCTTCTTAATCGCGTTTCCCTCTGCTCATTTCCGCATCTCCGGCCCTGCACATTTCTTCCTAGCGCTCTTCACAACGCACCTTTCTGGTTGTGCCAACCGCCTGCGTCTCGAACGTCGCCACCATCTCCATCTCGAGCGGTCGTCGCCTCCATTGAAGCAAGTCGCCAACACTGAAGCATCGTAGGTCGGAAATTTCGTCCCGCACCACCCCCGGATTTTCACGCCTTTGCCCTGTGCCGCCATCACAGCTCCACAACGTCGTCTGCGCCACCATAGAAGCTTTGACGCTCGCCTTCATTTTCATCCCTTTCTAACTCGTGTCAGGCTTGACCGGAGATCTGGATGGATTACCAGACCTAAGATGGAGATTAACAAACAACCAAACCAGATATGGGAATGATCGTGGCTAGGCAGAGGTGGCGGGTGGTAAGAGTTGGGTTGTGCTGTCCAAGCTAGGGATGGGTCTGGGGAGTTGGGGGAGCGAGCTGGGCAGGGGTGGCGAAAGTGGCCGGGTGTAGCAGGGAGCCAGGGACGACAATGACAGTGGGGTTTAGGGGCTGGAGGTATGCCGGAAAGGGGGTTGGGGTTGGAGTCACTATAGGAGATGAGATGGGATTGGCGGCCAGTTGCGGCGGCCAACGATGGTGGCAGGCGGCAGCGGGAAGTGGCAGGGCAGTGTTAGGGCGGGGTTGGCCGGGGACGTGGCTGAGGAGCGGTGGAGGGATGGGACACCGGAGAAGGCATGTTACTATGGCAGTGTCACTGTATGTGATGGGTGGGCCGTAACTTTGACCAGAGTGACTTTAGCGGTGTCACTGTGTCCGGCAGCGGTGATCGGTGACGGCGGTGACCGACAATGGCAGTGGCGGCAGCGACATGATATCTTATAGTGACATAACAGTCCGGCAGTGACAAAAAAATGATAGTGACAATGTGACATCATGTTTTCCAAATATGTGACCTTCTGAGTCACATTTGTCTTTTTAAAAAATGGTCACATTTTTGGTAATCAGATTAAATTTAGTAATATTCAAGGAAAAAAGCCCTTTAATAAATCTATGGCACGTATGATGTCTATCAGTCTATATTATAAAGAACTATTAAAATTCTAAATAAGTCCATACCCCATATTAATTAGTGCAATGTCTCTAAATTAATCTGGTCATTCCTAATTAACTAGTTAAATCATCACAGAAACATTTGTGGAATACAATGTTGAGACGTGCTTCCACCAATAAATAAAAATGCTATCGTATTAGTTTTGGTAAGCTGTTACATGGTATCATACATGTATGCATAGATATAGAATCTTCAACCCAAACTGAGCTTAGTAGCAGGATTGGGGTTGCTGATTCAATTATTCTAAATGCTAAAGAAGTTCAACTACTTCGAGGGATCATGCGCTCGCATATAGTTCGAAATGAAATAGACCCGCAAAACTGCACCTGATGGATGTCTGATCAGACAGCCAAGGGGATTTGATCGCCGGAAGGAGAGGCCCCTGATCCAACGGAAACGATGCACAACATGTATAATAATCATGTCATTAGTAAAATCAGAGTACCAACTGTAGCCCATCTATTTTCCTTGAAATTTGCAGATCTCATGACATTTACTACCAACTTTACACAAAATGCCACTAAATTTGCTTGTAAAAATAGGCTTTTGTGGTGAGCTCCCCACGAAATATCTTTTCATCTGTTCTTGTACCACTCTTTTAAGTGTATCACTGATGTCACCCAATGCCCAAGCTATTGATATATGTGGCCGTGGATCCTGCCAGCGAAACACAATTATGTGATTGGCTAAGCATAAAATGGTGGAATAAACAGTAGAAGAAAATATTACTCCATAGTTATGTACTTTTGTAACCTAACCTTGTAAAATTCTGGAAGATCGTGAAGCCTATAAACCTCATTAACAGCTTCAACCTGTTTTGTTATCTAGGAATAAGAGAAACAAAATAAGCATTCATTCAGTAGCAACATTTTTTTTACTTATTACCCTCAATGAGTAGAGCATTTATAATGCAAAATCAATTTCAGTTGCTACAAGATGAAATGAAGATAAAGAGACTTTTATCATCATCTTTTAGATACTACGAGTATTTCTTTTATCAATTGAAATACTCCGTATATTTTAGTTGATTCTTCATATTCAATCATTTCAACAAAATTTCATACTCTCACCAAACGGGATCAAAACTTCCTCTATGAAATATATATTCAATATCTAGTAGAAACAAAAATTGTCATTGATTTGTATTGTCAAAAGTAGGGGCAAAAACGAGCCGATCCCTAACTTGGCCATGCTTGAGCTTGATAAGAATGCACTGACTCGAGCTCAAGCTTGAACGAGCCTAAGAACTTTGGCTCTAGCGTGATTCGAGCTCAATTCGGTCTCGGCTTGAGTTTTGCTAATTATTTTTTTATAGGTTTCGATTTGAGGTCAAAATAAAATTTCTATATCCAAAATTATTAATATTATATTTATACATACAAATAGATAAATAATACTCCATCTGCCCCGAAATGAAGTTACCAGTTTGACCTACACACATATTTATGTAAGGTAGAGTTTTGTTTTGACTTTCCAACTATACCCTTACTTTATGTCAAATCAAGCAAAATGTGGATAAAAAGCAAGGGTAGTCGTGACTTTTGGGTTAAAAATGATTTGATTTCCCTTTATAGGAATGAGAACTTCTTTTTGGGGCATCCATAAAAGGAAAGTAGGAACTTCTTTTTGAGACGGAGGAAGTATATAATATTTGTATTTTGTACTTTATTGTTCTCAATTATTTTAGTTCCTCCTCCTTCACCGACACTTTTACTCCTTATTTTACCATCAATTATATTTTGAAATATATGAATAAATAAACATACATGAATAGATATGATGTGGGTGTAGACATATAATGTGTGTATATATAAATAGATTTTGGATAAAATAAAAAGAGGCATTGCCATGAAGAGTAAGAAAAAGTATGGAGCATCGGTTTTATTTTTCTCTTAAAATAATGCACAATTCAAATGCACATTTCTTTTTCACCCCAAAATCTTTTGGGATTATGGCTTGAATGTTGTTGTTGCTGCTTAGATCATGCTCTCATTTGAACCAAATTATACACACACACACATATATATATATGTATGTATATGTGTGTGTGTGTGTTATGGTTCGCGAGCTAACGAGCTACAAGGAATTGAGCTTGAGCTCAGCTCAGTTGCTCAACAAGTCAGCCAAACTCGAACTCGTGTTGAGTTTTGACCAAGTGACTCAGGAACTGTTTGACTCGTTTTAATCCCTAGTCAAAACATTGTGACACTCAACATCTGTGATAGGGTTAAAGCTGAATGAATATATATAAGAAATGGATTACAAATACATATGAAAGTAATGAAACATATTTCAAGATTCAAATGAAATCAGTCAAAAACTAACAAAGCCCACTAGGTTATTGCATGTTTGCGTATCATACCTCAATTAAGCCTCCTGTGACAACTTCCAATGACAAAAACGTGCGTGAGCCATCGTCATTCACAAAGACCTCCCATTTGTTAAAATTTATCCAATACCTTCCAACAATAATTACATTGGAAATCAGCTGAAACTTCAAAAATAATCATCCTATGGTCAAGGTGCATATCCACATATATGTAACATAGAAGGCACTGCATTACCTCCGCTGAAATTGTAGCCTCTGACGAAGCATTGAGACTACTGAGTTAATCTGGTGCACTCGAATGGGAACAGTCCTTCCCAAACTTATATGAAATTCCCTACCTAAGGCAACTTGCTCAAGCTTACCCCCATCGTCTCTTACTAAATTACTCAACGGTACATCAATATCAACAACATTGAGATCATGTACAAGAGCTAATCTTTCCAAAAACTGGGCTAACTCCTTCCTTAGTGCTGATGGTATATGAACTGTAAGGAACAAACCAGTATTATAAGCCAAGACATGTCTCCTCCCTAAAATAATTAACTGCATACAAGTCTGTTCTTTTATCTACTTATAGCTAAAATATTACCTAACCCTTATTTGGTAGGGGGGTTTCCGCGGCCTGTGGGAAGAGGTGATTTTTAATATATTAATTTTTTCTTACACTGAGAGAATTAGAATTAGAAATGAAACGAATATGAGATAATATATAAAAATGCATGATTTATCTAAAGAAATATGATGTAGTAGTTAATTGCTCCTGTGATGACAGGCAAATACAGATAAGTTAGATAAACAACCATCAATCCCCCCTCCCCTGAAAAATAACCCAACCAAATAAGCGCCAAAGATTACTAAAATGCTGAAATGACAAAATTAAATATTACCAATGGAATAGTGATTTTGCTAAGTGATCATATGTACCTGGAATGTAAACATGAAGAGCATAATTGCCATCTACATGAGGAAAGCTTCTAACTCGACTAACTTGACTGGTTTCCAAGCAATCGAACGAACCTTTACAAACCAAACGCCGGATATCTGGTGAGCATAACTAGGCAGCCAAAGAGTAACCCAAATTACCACATCACAAATGTACTAACTACCAATGGTTGAGAAATTAATTTACCCAATGAACAGGGCAAGTCAAGTAGAGCTGCAGGAGGCAGAGGCAGAGACAGAGGCGTGATTGTCTCGGCGGCCATATCAGTGGACGTGGAGGGTGGTGGAAGAGAGTGGTCGGAATCTGAGTCGGATTCAGAGGAAACGTCGCCATATGAGGCTCTCAAAGCATCCATCTTCTCACTTCTTCAAGCGTCAGTTCATCACAGTTGATCAATTCAAGATTCCTGCTATTAGCAAAAAGGGGAATCGCCCGAATCTTATGCTCGGAGGAGCAGATTTTAAAAAACTGATTCTTAAATTAGAAAATCAGAGCACGAGTATCACTTCTCAACTTTTACCCAAACACTTCAACTTGTGTTTCTACTCTGAAGGAGCAGAAGCAAATCAAATCCAAACACCCCTAGTTCTTGATTTGCTAATCGAGTAAAAAGAACCTAAAAAGTGTCCCTACAATATGAAATTATGTTATTAAAAGACATAATTTTTATAAAGATCAAAATATTAATTATAATAATTTTTATATTTTTAGCATTTTAGAATTTTAGTATATATATTTTTATGTGTGTGCGTGTGTGTATGTGTAATATTTCTGCACTGTGACTGGTTATTAGAACCTTTTTGGCAGAAGTTAAAAGCATTTGGAAGTAAAAAGCATGTCCTTATTAATACATTCAATGTTGAAGACAATTTGGAAGTTTTTTCTGTACCCTAAAGAAATTGCACCATCAGACATAGTTGGGCATCATTATCCAGCTAAAGAACAATATATTTCATATGAAAACAGGATAATTCATTGGCAATGGAATAAATAGGCTACTCACAGTAACAGGAAACCAATAGCCAATGTCACTAGCCAACTAAAACACAGATTCAAGTTTGTAACACCAAATATTTGCATATATATTCCATGAAGAAAAACAACTGAACATCAGCACATTTCTTATCCTGACAACGAGCAAAACTGATTAGCAATCTGTGAGCACATCCATCACCTATCAAGGATTCAAGTATACCCTAGGTGTTACAATTTCAAAATAGAAGATGGAACTTTTCTTTTTCATCAAGTTATTGGGATGAAATGTGAATGTTACAAGCAGGAGACATCATAGTCCCATTTCCCATACAACCACTCATTTTCATATATTAATACATGAGTAAAATTTCAAACTTCACACAGCTGATTCAATACACGAAGCTTATGATATCAAATAAAGAACAGAAAACACAGGCTTTACAATTTACTTATTTACCGAATAAAAGAAAGAATAATCGATGAAGTATTACAAAATGTAAGAAGATTACCAAATAACGCATACACACGTTACAGAGCATTCTAAAGAAAGGCAAAAAGGTGAATCATAAATTCGTGAAAAATACAAGAATCTGAAGAACAAACATAATCCAGAAGCAGAAGACTCACCACAGCAGCTCAAACGTAACCATAGATGCTGATGATCAATATGAAAATAGGTATAAGAACAAAAAGAAGCACATAAAGAATAAAGAGTCTTGTGGCTCTGTTGAGAAAAAGGGGAAACTTCAAAGATGGAAACAGGGGTTAATGAGTTATGGAGGGCGGCTCGTCTCTCAGACTATGTGCGCAGGTCTTGGCTCATGTTTTAAAATAAATCCTAAGTAAACAAGAGTGCGAATAAGTCATGTTTTAAAATAAATCCTAAATAAACAAGAGTATATGGCTGACCGAATAAGTCATTGTTTCCTTTCAGACCATTAAATCGAAAGTAAACAGCCCCTTAAAGTCTGTTTTAAAACTTCGCTACAAGAAATTATTTTCAAGGTGTCTTATCTGTTCTTACCAACACATCTACCTTGTAATTTTTTCCCGAACAACAGTAGACAAAAGCAGAGAGAGAAGATGGAGTATAACAGAGAGAATTTGATAACTTAGACGAGGAAATATGAAATATGAGAATAGTAATAAATAAAAAAATACATACATTGACCGATCGGCGTTTAATTTGCGTTTGACCATGGAAGAAATAGGAATGATACGGTGTGAAACGGAACTACCCGAATAAGCGTCTGAATATAGATATTGCATTCCGTAACGTTTTAAGTTCAGTCCCATTATTTCAGTTCAAGCTTATTTCTACTCTTCATACAAACATGACTACTATAATCAAAATTAACTGAATTTTATGGATTTTAGTTCTTTTTAAGCTGAAGAGTGGTGCTCGGCATAGCCTAAACCAGACCAAAACTCCATAATTTAAAAACACACAAACATTTATTAGACTAAGTCAGATCAATATAGACCCGATCAGGCCAAACCAGATCATGTTAGATCAGACCAGAAAAATTCAATCCAAGTAAACATCCTGATAGAGTATATGGGCTCAAGCCACGACTCACATACTTTTGGATACACAATGGCTCAATCCCAATTGGACTACACTCCTCATCTATGTCCTCTCAATCAAAGTCAGTCCAAGACACTGAACGAGGACCATTGTTCGTACTAGTCACTTCGGATAGTGACACCTCATCTTTCAGCACCATCCAGATACCCCAGACAGAATCACTTAGCAGTAGGGAAAATACTAAGAACGAGGTGTGTGCGTACACCACCTCGTCCAACATAAGACATCCGCACAGGAGTCGGTCAAGGAATGACACGTGTTGCGCTCTACAGAGCCATATGGCTCTCACCCATTAAATAGCTTACACGTGTACGCACATTTAATGCACCGCTCATTTATTACTACTATAAATACCCCCTCTGGGGCGGTTGTAAAAGGTTAGAGTCTCAGTTAATACAAGATTATTTTCTCTTTCTACTCGTAGCTCTCCCCTCTCTCTACAATACTAATAGCAATTTACTGGTGAGCTATCATTTGGTGTTCTCGTTGAGAGAAAGAACAATCAAGTTAGTAACCTCATCGCTATCAGACACTACTAACACATCTGAAATGGGAAATACTAGATCAAAACAAAACCCCGTAGGCAAGGCCCTCCAGGACCCTCATCACCGACCCTCCGAGGTCGTATGTTAAATCCTTGCAGCAAGGTGATCGATTTGCCGAGGCAGACGACGTCCATAACAAAAAACAAAAGGAATAAGGGGTCGAGCGAGTCACAAGCAGATGAGGGAAGGAAAGTAGGATATGACGGGTGCCGCAGGGGAAGTAGGACCTGGAAGAGGTCGGTGATCCTTGAACAGTCATGTACCCCCTCTCACGCATTCAATGAGCATTATCTTAGATTACGCGGAAGAGAATGGGCTGGTTAAAAGGGATCTAGGGTATCCCCAGGAGATCTATGTCGTCCACCAGGGCGGGAGATATTGCCGCTTTCACAAGAACAACACATGCAACACTGATAACTGTCACATCCTCTAAGTGGCCATCGAGCTCCTCATTCAGAAGGATCATCTCTCACAGTTTGTTAAAGGTGCCCCAAGGAATAATTCTTGAGTGAACGCCTGCAACCGAGGGGCGAAGAAGAAGAGAGAGATTGGCAACCTCAGTGACAAGGAAAATTATGGTGAGCATCACGCCCAGAAACACCACAACAACTTGATTGTCGGGGCAACACAGGGGGCAACTCAGCCATCCAAAGCAAAAAATGGGCTTAGTCCTTCTTGTTGGTAAGGTGTCCCCCTCCCTCGAGGTAGAAACGGTTCAAAATCGGCCTCATTGTCTTCACTGATAAGGATTCATCCGAGAGCCCCTCGGCTCACAGAGACACCCTCGCCATCAAGTACCTTAGCACATTCAAACAATTGGGCCTTGACCGAGCATCCCTTCACCCAATACGGACACCACTCTCTGGGTTCACTGAAGATTTTATCGATGTTGAAGGCATGATAGTCCTCTCCATCGAGGTTGGTAACGGTTCTCACAAGGCCATGGTCGACATTGAATTTGTGTTCGCCACGGAGCTGGAATACTCCCCTATCAAAATGACAATGAAGAAACTTGTGCACTACTTACAAGGGCACCCCATCCACATCCTTACTCAGCAGCCCTCATCGCATTGATGTGAAGCCTCATCTGCTTCTCCAGAATGGTAAAGAGGGTAGTATTTTTGAGGTCGCAACCTGTGGAGCCAACTACTCCATGTCGACAATATATGTGACATCAAAGGTCTCGTGTGCCTCGGCGTCCCTAGAGGTAGCAACCTTCTTCATGACCAGGCCAGCCTCCTCGAGGGTCTTCTACCCCTTGGAACCCTTGGGCTGCTTAGACTTTGTGGCCTCAGCTTCATGTGACAACGGCCTCTTCTACCACTTATCAGCATCAGACTCCTTCTTAGACGCCTTCTCAATAGCGGAGGACTTCTTGATCTCCTTGGCATTTGAAAAGTCACGTTCCTTCTCGGCTCTTTTCTTCTCCAACATCATCTGTTGATGTGACTCATCTGTGAGAAGGGAATTCCTATCCATATATGCGGTCGAAACAAACAAAGACAATCAAATATGTTAAAAGGCAAATATGAAACAAGTCAAAATTCATCGTTAAGAATGACCTTTGGATTCGTCCTTAGTGGCCTTTTGGCACGTTCATACTCCTCGAGGAGCCTAGAGCGTCGTACAAGAGAAGCACCAGCTTCTCCTCAGTGATACACGTCCTCAAATCTCTGATGTCACTCCGCAGAAAACGCTCCACAACGACCTCTGTGTTAGTATCCATCATCTCACCTAGAGGAATGTGTTTCTTATACACCTCAGAGTAGCTCGAGGGCATGACAATCTCATCCCCAACTAAGATGTATACAAGCCTGGCTTTTCAGGCATTAATCAAGAAAAATCAACAACATTTCATCTCAAAATTCAAGAAAAAGTAAAATCACAAAATGAGGCATATGGGGTATTTATAGGCGCAATAATGATGGCGCCTCTACGGTCATTACACGTGTCAAAACAACGTTGTCCCCCTCGATTCAATTGGTGCTCCTGTCGAAATTCCGGCCAATAAGGAAGTTCCACCTGGCACGAGGGGGGGTCTTGTGGATCAACACCTCTTTAACCGGCCAACTAGGAAGCACTTCGGCCTCATACATATGATACACCATGATTTCCTAGACATCGTTATCCAATGCATTAAACATTCACCTTAGCGTCCTACATACAACATCACAAAAGCCTCAGATCCATCAAACCACTTCGGCGAAGAGACCGTGACACCTCAGGTACAATCCTAAAATTCTAGAATGCTGACCTGTCCCTCGAATTAGGCACCTCGATGATGGTATCTGGCCAGTGACCTTCGTCCAAAGATTCTCCCAAAGCATTGCCTTATTCAGGGTTCACCAAAGAGATTAGATCCTCGAGCCAATTCAAAGGTGGCACCTTGGCTTACAAGTTTTTGCCCTTCAACCCAAAGTCTTATCTCGACATCAAGAGTGGGGGGCTGTGGACTACACCTCAGCCTGAAAGCATAAAAAACGTGATAGAAAAGCGTCTCCCTCAACAAAAGTATTACACCTCACCCAAGCTCGCCAAAACACCAAAACACGGAGGAAATTTCAAACAGCAAGAAACTCTACTCCTTCTCACCTCGAGACCTTTCAGCTCAGAGAGTGGGGGACTCTTGATATAATATATGAGCTCATGCCCACGAGCCACATACTTTTGGGTACACAACGGCCCAAGCCCACATGGACTACACTCCTTATTTGTGTCCTCTCAACCAAAGTTAGTATGGAACACCGAACCAGGATCGCTGCCCGTACTAGTCACTTTGGCTAGTGACACCTCATCCACCACCATCTAGATACCGCAGATGTAATCACTAGGTAGCAAGAATAATACTAAGGACGAGGTGCGCACGCACCTCTCCCTACACCACCTCATCCAACAGAAGTCATCCGCTCAGGAGTCGGTCAAGGAATGACATGCCTCACTCTCTGCAGCGCCATAGGGCTCTCGCCCATAGTGTGTACATACATTTAATGTACCACTCATTTATTACTAGTATAAATACCCACTTGGGGTAGTTGTAAAGGGCTCAAATCCCATTTAGTACTCCCTCCATCCCGAAAAGGTTGGCCAACATTGACTTTCACGTGGATTAATAAAGTAAAAACTGTGTGTTGATAAAGAGTTTCCTTGCTTGCTTGTTTCTTCTGATGTTGCTCCAAATGAGGTGGATCATTTGCTTGTTAAAGTTAATTTTAATTTATTTTGTTAAACCGAGCCCAAATTTATGAATGAAAATGATTTTCAAGTTGAAAATAAAGAAAATGATATTTTTATTAAGGTGGAGCATGATATGAATGTTGTGTTTAACCTGCTTGAGTTGCGTGATTGTCAGATTATTGAAGATAAAGACATTAGAAAGCATGAGAGAAATAATAAGTGCAATGGGTTTGACTGTATTATCTCGAGTTTTCTTTAGATGTGCTTAACTTTCTTTTAATTAAAATCTTTGTGATATTTGGTATACTATTTTGTTAGTGTCTTGCAAATGTGATATCGATTGATGATGTGAGCTCCATCCGTGTTAATTATAAAGAGAACTACTGTAACACCAAGGGTATACCCCGGTAGTGTCATGTTAACATGCTTTAAAATAGTAAATACGAAGTATTAATAAAGGTTGCGAATTATTTACTGAACTTGTTAATACTCCTCTCGCCTCAT